ACATGAAACTGTGATTCTGCCTTTAATTGGTTTAGTGGTGGAGTTGATAGTGTTAGGTTGATGGTTGGACTGGATGATCTTAAAGGTCTTTTCCAACCTAAATGATTCTATGGTTCTCAATAGCAATAGGTTTTGTGGTATTTGAATGCCATCAGAGAAAAGATCTGGAGGGATAGGGTAGCAAGAGGAGGCACAAGGACAAAGAGTATTTGCTTTTTATTTACTGAAGTTAAATCTATAAATAATCATCGAGATTCTCTTTTAACTGAATGTAAACTGTGGCATCAGAGATTACTGACAGGAAAATTTACGTGACAGTATATTTTTAACTTGTGTGCTACCCTTTTCTGTCGTCTTTAGAAGAAGAACAAATGCTGTTAAGGTACTGTGGATCGTCATGTATCCAGTATGATCTAAACTGTACGCATACATATATATGTGTGTATTTTGTATCTGCTACCATGTGCAATGAAGTATTTTCAAATTGCTCTTGTTTAGTTTCTTGTTTGTGAACGATAATTCTTAGGATGATGTTTAACTGAGGTGTTTTCTTCCAGGGTATTTCAATAACTGGAAGTGATATATTTCCTACTTTGTTAGAGTGAATTATCTTTCTAAAATTATAAAAAGAAAAGCCTTCAGGTTTTTTCTCAGAATTCCATGTTGCAATGCTGGTGCAATTTGTTTTTCATACATTACTGGAACTGTCTGTGTCTATTATTTAAAGAAACGGCTGTTACAAATTACTAAAGTTTCCATTTTCTGTTACTCTACTACATTGACACAATTTTCTACTTCGTTAAATCAAAATGATATGTGGGATGACAGATGCAGTATGCTTTGTCAGAAATAAGTAGTCACTAAGCATGGGAAGAGATCTTCATAGTGGAAAGCTTCCATAAAATATTGTTTGTAAACTTGAGCAGGATGTTTATTCCTGTTCATCTGAAATTAAGATTTCTTTTTCCTTTCACTTATGTGTTTTCTGCATTTCATTACACTTTTTCCATAGGCCCTTGCTTCAAGGAACTAGAGGAGGGAAGGAAATACACAGCAGTAACAAGTAGAAATGGGTATGTTGATGGTCAACAGTGCTATGGCTGTTTTGAGACTATGTTCACTGTCTCAGATTTTGCTGAACTATTTTTACTCTGTAGGAGGAGTGGGACTGGTTTAAAAACTGGTTTAAACAGATTTAAATGATTTTCTGTTGTTTTACTTAAGACTAGCTGTAGTTCCCGAATTTAATTTTGCCTTTTTTTTTTTTTTTTTTTAATTCTAGGCTTTCTGCTCTGGATTTCGTTCTTTGCAAAATGAATATTGCATTCTTTCACAAAGGTTGGACTCTCCAGTAGAATTTGTGAAGATCAGTGCACATAAACCAACAGCTTATTTTTTTTGAAGACTTCTGTGCAGCTTTTAAAATTTTAATCACAATGAATTCAGGCTTATGGAGTCAAGAAAAAGCAAGTTCATCCTATTGGGAAGAGCGGATCTTCTACTTACTTCTCCAAGAATGCAGTGTCATAGATAAGCAGACCCAAAAGCTCTTGAAAGTGCCCAAAGGTAGCATTGGGCAGTTTTTTCAAGACCGTACTTCTGTGGGACACTCCAGAAATATTCCTTGTAAAGGCAAGAAACTGCAGATTGGATTAAAGATTCTGGAACAACCTCATGCAATCCTGTTTGTGGATGAGAAGGATGTTATAGAAATAAATGAAAAACTAGCTGAGTTGCTTTTGGCCATTACTAACTGTGAGGAAAGATACAGTCTGTTTAAAAGCAAAAGCAGGTTAACTAAAGGCATCCAAATAGATATTGGCTCACCTGTTAGAGTACAGTTGAGATCAGGAGATGATAAATTTCCTGGAGTTGTTCGCTTCAGAGGACCCTTGTTGCAAGAAAGGTCCCTAACAGGGATATACTTTGGAGTAGAGTTGCTGGTAAGTTTCTTGCTAAGGGGGAACATCATATATATCTTATAAGATGAGCTAAAAATCTCCTATTTAAAGAAGCAGTCATCACTTTTTTTTTTTTCATAAGCACCATTACCCCTAAAAATTCTGTAACCCTCAGTCTTTTCATAAGTATTGTTATTAAGTATGTGTGAGCTCACCATATCACATCAGCCTTGATTCTACATGTTAAGCGAAGCTTGATGAGGTGCATGGGCTGGCAAAAAGACTTGAATATACTCTGACTCTTCCAGCCTCGAACAATTTAATTACTTGCATCCCCATCATTGCAAATATCTGACTCAGATTTCTGTTGAGTACTTTGTTTTTCCCTGCACGTGGCAGGATAAAATCCATAAATGCAGGCTTGGATTTTAGGGCTGCTGGTTTTGTAGAGCTCTAAAAGTCAAATGGCCACTAGTTAAGATAGAGAATGTTGCCATTGTCTGCTCCTAGTGAGGTATTTCTGGAAAATTAATGTCAACTGTAAACTTTTGAAGCATTAGATTCAGGAGAGTGCCACTTTTGCATTAGAAGTGTATTTTTCAAAGTCCTCTTTAAACTTTTCTGAAATTCTTTGCAATTCCCACTGAGAACCTCAGGGACTATCAAGCCCAAGTACTTCTGAAAATCAGCTCTCTTTATTTGGCATCTTAAGTGGAATTTTTCAGTGCTTAGCATTATGTCTAGTATGAAGTAGTCTGGTCTTGATATAGCAAAAATTTGATGATGGAAGCAAGATTTGTACCTGAAAAAAAACATGCTTCTCCGAGTAAAAAGGCTTCTGCCTGCAGCTACTCTCTAATCTAATGATATGTTACTGTTTATTCCCCTAAGATAGATAGTGTGTGTATTTGCCACAATTCTGCCAATAGAATTCTCCCAATATAATGAGAGTTGATCAGGCAAATTTTTACTGCAGTTTCTCCAAAATGGTGGATTATGTTACTGCTTATGTAGTAGTCTGCTTTTGCACAAAATACACTGCTTTTTTTTTTTTTCCTTCTTTTTTCTTTTTTCTTTTTTTCCTTCCTCTTCCTCCTCTGACACTTAGGAAGAAGGTCGTGGTCAGGGCTTTACTGATGGACAGTACCAAGGCAAGCAGCTTTTCAGATGTGATGAGGATTGTGGGGTTTTTGTTGCTTTGGACAAATTGGAGCTGGTGGAAGATGATGACAATGAACTGGAAAGTGACTATGCAGCTCCAGTTGACGCAATGCAGGTAGAACTTCCTCCTCTGGAGATCAACTCCAGGGTTTCTCTGAAGATAGGAGAGAGTATAGAGTATGGGACAGTTATATTCTGTGATGTCTTACCAGGAAACGAAAGTTTAGGATACGTTGTTGGAGTGGACATGGTAAGAAAACAATCTGACTTTAATAACTTCTGCATGTGTGTTAGCTAGCAAATTACATGCAATACAGAAGAAGAAACATTATCCACAAGCTACTTCAGCGGAGGCTGACCTAAAATGGGAAATAAACACTTGTGTTCAAAGATGCCCCTTGGTGGTAATTGTTTTTTGGCATCAGGTAAATGGTATCCTATTTGATGCTAAACAGTTCAGGAAAAATACTCTGGTTACTCTGAGGAGCCTCCACTGACCTACTTGCAATGTTAGATGTCAGTCTTGAAGTAATAGAGTTGAGTGTTTGTCTTGTGAGACTGGCTTTGTTCTGCCTTTTTTAAAAGTAGGCTGGATGACTTTTTCTTTGTTACCTATTTTTCAAAGCTTGTTTTTTATGTAACTTTGGTTTGTTTGACTTTGTTCTACCTTAAAAATCCTGAGTTTTAAGTACAAAAGTTGATCTTTCAAGCAAATGTGAAGCTTGTCATTAAAAATTATTTCTAGCAACTTGAATTTTTTAAAATTAACATCTTTCAAATTTTTGGTAGTTAAAGGGTGTTTTGGTTTTGTTTTTGTAGATCAGGTGCTTCCATTTTCTTGATTGCAGTATCTGTTGCCTAACAATGCACTGGAATTGTTCTAACTTGTTCATAAATAATGTATTTTAGTAGAGGAATGCTTGTTAAAATAGAAAATATTTCTCAAAAGAACAGTTGTTAAGTTTGCATTTGTCTTTAAAGACTGTAACGTTTGACTGTCCTGAATACCAAGTTTGTTACAGGAAAAAGTAGATGTTGTCAAACCTTTTGTTTTCCTACTCTTTACATTCCTAAAGACATATGTGTGTATTCTGTATAATGTAAATCTTCTCTTGGGATACATCTAACATGTTTTTCTATTTTTAGGATAATCCTATTGGAAACTGGGATGGAAGATATAATGGAATACAGCTGTGCAGTTTTGCAAGTGTTGAAAGTACACTTCTTCTGCATATCAATGATGTTATTCCAGGTATGCTCTGCTTTCTTAACCAGAAGGCAGACTTTGATAACATCTCAACCTAGGCACAGTTATATGATTAAAACAATACTGTGGAATTAATATTCTACACTCACTTGAAGTAGTTTAACCCTTTGTGTTCTCTTCAGTTTCCTCCTCCTTTTGGTTGCAGTGTCCCTAGTAGAAAAGGTTTAATATTGAACAAAATTCATGTCAAATTGTGTAGTATTTACAGTACTATACAGTTGTATAGTATTCGTGAATATGTGGGTGTCTGTGGCGGGAATCTTTTTATTGAATGTTGCTCAGTTTGCTCCAGGAGTTTAGATATCTTGGATGAGAAAGCTGTTCTTTCTGTGCCTGAAACAAATTGTGAGTATTATTTATGCATTCTGTGAGTAAATAGTTGAAAATTTGTAGCAAGACTGTGGGAAAATTCACTGTCCTCAGTAATTCACTGAATAACACTGACTTGTAAGCATTACAGTCCCCTGATTCCTTTTCTGAAGAAAGAAATGTTTCATGTAAAACTTGCGTTTGTGCTCTGAAGACAGGTACTAATGAATGTGCAGTCTTGTACAGCCTGTAGTCTGAAACGGTTGCCGCCTCTCTTCAATCTGACTAACTTTTCTTATGTTCTCCTCCTACTTGTTGGTTTAGTTGAGATGCATGTTTTTGCATGAATTCTCCTCTCTTCTCTGGAGAATTCCTGGGGACTTACCCATTTTGGGGAAAAGAGCATTTGTTATAGACGTATTGGTAGAAAGCAAAGTTTCGAATTTCATGCATCTGTTTCCCACAATGGAAGCATGCACATACGTTGAAGACCGCGAAGTCAATCTATTTGATGTGTTCAAGAAATAGTGGTAGACTTCAGAGTAAAGTAATTGCTGATGTGGTAGAAGCAAATCCTATATACATAAAATGTTGGTTATGTGCCAAACAAGGTTTTGCTCTACTCAGTTTTAAAACTTACGGTGCTAGACCTTGGTTCAGTTACGTTTCAAGTTGAACTTCTCTGTGACATAGTAAAAACATAGAAAAGGGAAGCTAATACTCTCTTCATATACCACATCTTAGAGACTGTGTCACAGGACAGGAGACCTCCCAAGCTTGCCTATACCTCGAGAGGTGGTGGTGACAAAAGCTTGTTCAATCATAGTAAGCCAAAGGCTACAGGTATGTATGGGAAGTGATTTTCTTTACCTGTGTAAGATTACAAATTTGTGTTGCTTGGGAGAAAGTGTTGCCTTGCATTTTCTGTCACTTCATTTATTATTTCAGTTACATATGAAGTTAAATATCTCTGAAGTAGAGTATTAGTATGATTTTATTTAATCATAATAAAGATGGTAGGCAGTTCAAATTAAGACTACTCAAAATGCATTCACTTTCATGAAAAACAGTTTGAAGTTTAGCAAAAATTCAAGAGTATATTGCCTAGTTGTCTAGTATAACCAGTTCAGGGCTGCATTCTGTTTTTCTGAAAGTGTGGTGTGTGCCTGTTTGGGTTTTTTTTTTTTTTATTTTTTAATAAATATAGTTTGCTGTTGTCTTCCTTCTGCAGGACTAGAAACATCCAAATTTTTAGCCCAGGAGCAGATGTACTTAGTAGTGAATATGTTAATTTTGCTGTGATTCAAAACCAGAATTGAATTTCCCAAATTTTTTTCCAAAATATTTCCCAAAATATAGACGTCTTTTGTCTCTGGTTTTGGCCAGTGCTGAAAATCCTCCCAGGGGAAGAAAATCTGTAAGGGATTTTTTTTTTTTTTTTTTTTTTTTGTAGGCAGAAATAAAAATTCAGTGTCTTTTGAGTTTCTTAGTGGCTGTTTTGGATTGTAGAATACTAAACTAACAACAGTATATTCTGTAAGCTTTCATTCTGCCTGGCTTTGGATGCTGGCAGAGATGGGTCTTCACTGACTGTGGTTGTATGTTGGCACAAGTTATAGCTGTGTGGAATTGGATTGGTAATTTATTTGCCTACTGTGAACTTTTTTTTCTTTAAAAACAAAGAAAAAATACCTGCTGTACACTGTATCTCAAATGCTTTCTTATATCCATAATTTATAGCAGTGAAAAATTTGCACTTGAGGGGTGTTTTCTGCATTCTTTTCAGGTTGGTGGCTCGAAATTTCAGCTTGGAGGGTTAAGTTGGTTTGGGATAAACTGCTACATTGTTGCAAGCTTAGAATTCTGTTAGCTTTGATGGGAGAGTTTGCTGCTTTGTGTAAAGGCAGTTATGCCTTCTTCAAAGTATAGTAACAAATTTATACTATGAAATAAGACCATAGCTAACCTTTTGTAAATAGAGATTAATCTCTTCAGTAAAATGTGTTGTTTTCCAGGATCTACCTCTGAACCTGGAAATAGAAACAGATCTGAAGTCTTCTACACATTAAATGGTTCATCAGTTGACTCTCAGCCTCAAACGAAAACAAAACCCCCATGGTATATTGATGAAGGTAAAGAGAGATAATAGTCTTTCATGTAGGCATACACTTTATTTAAAAAACAAAACAAAACTGGAGTGTATTGATGTTCTTCAAATAAAACAAGTATGAGTTTAAATTTAAAACAGTTGGAATATGTTGTCTTAGTGGAAGACATACTATATGACAAAAAGCATCTTGGATGGAACCCCCATGAAAATATACTCTGTCTTAATTGACAGACCTGTTGTTTTATCCTGCATGTCGGAGATTACATTCTTGGCAACATACGCGCAGCTCTGTGGGAATGCATGTGTCTTGCAGGGAAAATAAAAGCTGAGGTTTGGAACAAAGATATGAAGATATTCCTTGTAGCCAAGTATATAGACCAATTTTATTTTGCCTGTCTTTTTGTAGCTAATGTTACAGATTTAAGGGAACTGTAATATTCTGCCATGCCAGCTAATCAGTCTGGAAGTAGGGGGAAAAAAATAGTCTGACTAAGCATACATGTTTTTTTCAGTATTTTTTGAAAGTTAATTCTGTAAAATCTCTTTCTGAATTCTTACAAGTCTGGGTGCACATACCCAAAGGATCAGTATGTCTTGATTTGCTTCCAGATCTAATTTTTTTTTTAATTAACTTTTTCCTGCCCCACCCCGGTCAACTTTTCTGAAGTGTGGCTGGCTGGCTTAGTGACTGAAGGGGTAAATACTAAACTAATAATGTTAATTTACAATGGACACCTATAGCAGTAGTAGCCCCTGAATTCCATGAACCGTAAAAGAAAATGGGTTAAAATTGTTCTTGGTTGCCTAACAGATGTTGTTCCAACAGCTTGGAACTCTGTTTAAAAATTAGTTTACTATAGTATTTAAAATAAACAAGGTAAATATCAAAGAACTATGGAAGTAAAGGATTAAATATTTTTTTTTTTTTTAATTTTTGACATTTAACTTCATTTAATAAAACAGCGTGGGGAGAAGAAGTGATGAAGAGGCTTTTGCCTTGTGTATTAGAGACCATGTAGAGAGATGATAGAAGATACAGAACACTTCTGCTATTACATCTAGTTGTGATCTCATTTATCAAGCACTGCATTAGTCATGACTTATTTAAATCCTTTGTTCTCTATAGACACTGATAGATTCCTTGTGTTAGAACCAAAGTATATTGTGATAGAGCCAGGTGAATAAACACTTTTCCATTTTCAAATCATATCTGCACGCAATTACTCATCTCTGTATAAGCTGTGAACCAAATCTGTTCCTCAATCGCACTGACCAATGAGTTCTTCCTAGTTTTGCCCATTACAGTCATAATCCTTGGGGCTGTTAACTTGCATTCAAAGAAAAATTTCTATGTGGGGGTAAAAAACCAGTTTTCAGTCTAAACCTTCCTGTAGCTTCTGGCTAACATCTCCTTTCTCTGTGCTGTTAGTTTCTGTTGGTTGTGGTAAAAGTCGTAGGGTGACAGCAGTGTCTCCTCAGCCAATTCTGTCTCTCCAGTGTTGCCACGTGAGAAACATCTTTCTACGTGTTGCCAGCTGTTAGTGCTTTCTATACAGGACACCCATTAAATCGGATGTGGTCGCACATACACTTCATTGGTTTGATAGCTAAGTCTTTCCTTTTGTAAGAAGGGGGAAAAAGACCCCCAGCGTTTACTAACATCTTGGTTTTGATTTTGACAGTTGCTGAAGACCCTGCAAAATCACTTACTGACTCATCTCCTGGATTTGGGCATTCTTCACCACCACTGCAGCCACCTTTAACAAACTCTGTGTCTACAGAAAACAGATTTCACTCCCTCCCTTTTAGCTTGACAAAAACGTCAACTACTAATGGTACTATTGGACATAGTCCTCTCTCTTTATCTGTTCAGTCAGTCATTGGTGATGTAAATACTACGGCTAACCAGGAGAGTCCATCAACAGCAGGCCCAGTTGGGAACTCGCATGGTCTTGAAGCAGGTTCCTTGGCTGAAGTTAAAGAAAATCCTCCTTTCTATGGAGTAATCCGCTGGATTGGCCAGCCCCCTGGAGTAAATGAAGTATTAGCTGGACTGGAACTGGTAAATAGAAATTGTTGTTCATATTAATATTAATTACATATTACTGGTTTTGTTTCTGAGGGTTGGTGCCTGTATATTTTGCAAAAGCAGTCAGTCTGGAGGAATTTGTCCAAACAGGTTGCCATGTGATCTCCTTATAACATAGCTAAATTCTTAGATGAGCTCTGACTTTTGTGGCTGCCCTAGACGTGACTCTGTTAATAGGCTCTGAGATGTCTTTGTGTCACAATGGGTAATTGAATTAGTAGGACTGGTCACTCACTCACTTAAAGGAGTGCCCTTTGCTTACATCATGGAGATTTTATTTGAAAAAAGCCGACTGTATTGAAAGGTACTTTGAAATGTAGATTTACATAAAATGCCCTGGCTATAAGAGCCTTTAGTGAATATCAGTTTTTTGTTTGTTTTTTGTGTACCAGCAAACAGGCTGCATCAGAGTTTTGACCGTCAGAGTCATAACACTGGTTTTGATAATTGATGGTAGTGATATTGTTGATTTGACAGCCATATGCTTTGTGTGTTCCTGTGGGCCCTTTGTAAATTCACAGTTGCTACAAACATGAATTGCTGTTATGTACTGACATTTACTCTGTGGCAGCTGCTGCCAAGGTTGTGATTGGCTATCAGTTAAATTAATGTGTACACAATTAGGGAGATGGGGTTCTTTATTTTGGGATAATGTTCAATAAAATTTCAGATAAAGCAGTGTACAATTATGTAAAACAACAAACATCTTCAGCAAAGTGGGTGAGAATGTGACTGGAATTTCAGCTGTTAGAAATAATCCTGATGCCTGTGGGTTTTTTGGGTGAAGCTCAAGCTATAGTTTGCCACAGGTGTTCTGAGACTGCATCTTAGGATGCCTTGTGTTAAACTAGGGTCTTGGACTTGCCTGTCATGCATTTCTGCAGTAAAACCTAGCAATTGTTATTAAGCAGACAATATACTTTAAATCATGTTCTCAAAGACAAATAATGATAACCTGTTATTTTCCATACCTAGTTTGTGTTGTCATTCCTTGATGTACATTTTATGTGTTTTGAAGCAGGTGTTTTTCTTGTGCAGGCCAGAGTCACACTGGAAGTATTCACACTACCCAATGCTTAGTGATTTTAGCTGAGTTTTAAAAGGTGCTCGGTAGTGCAAGTGTGCTCTTTCTAACTACAGAAGGAATCTGGAGTGACTAGCTAGCTTAGTTAAGTTCCTAATGTCGACTAGGTTTAATTCTCGTTCTCCTCTCCTACCACCCCCAAGCTGCTTCTGATGGAGTTTTTGTTTTATTTTGGATGGAGTGAAAGTTTAAGCATGAAGAAAGAAAGTGCAACTCTTAATTCCCTCAATAAGTCCTGTTAAAGAACACCTCAGCTGAAGCGTTGTATACTAAAATGCAGGCATATCGTATATCAAGCTTCAGAATACCTGAAGGGTGACTTATGGGTAGATATTTTATCAAATGTCTTTCTGCAGAATTCTAGAAATAAGAAAAATAGTGAATTCTCACTTGAATTTTCAGGAAGATGAATGTGCAGGTTGTACGGATGGAACATTTAAAGGAACTCGATACTTCACTTGTGCTCCCAAGAAAGCTCTTTTTGTTAAACTCAAGAGCTGCAGGCCAGATTCCAGGTTTGCCTCACTACAGCCCGTTTCCAACCAGATTGAACGCTGCAACTCTCTAGGTACTGAGCTTCTGCTTATTACTTACCAGCTGGGAACCGACCTGGGTTTTGGTTTCATTTATTCCTGCAGTATGTTCTTTGTATTGAACACTTGAAAATCTGTACAGGCATTACTTACATGAGAGTAATGAATAGAAGATCAGTCTGTATGGAATGTAATGCTTCTGTGGGTTACTTTTTTATGCTTTAAAACAAGAAAGTGTTCATATATTTAAAGAAATTTCATGAATTTTTTTACTTTATAAGTTCTAAAGCAATCTTGCTAAAAATGGTATTTGCAACTCCAGCAATATGTGATTGCATTATCAGAAATAAAGACAGTTATTTTTCTATAATGTCAAATTTTTTTTTTCTAATATTAACATAGAAAAGCATGTATTTTTATGGTGGAAGTTAGTGGTGAAAAACTTTTTTTCTTTTCTTTTCTTTTTTTCCCCCCTAACTTCAAATATTTTAGATTTCTTGGGTCATGTTGTATTGCCTGCGACAACAGCAAAGAAAAAAGTGACTGATACTTGTAAGATAGTGTGAACAGGGCATTTATAATGAGAACTTTATTCCTACTGGATAAAATTAATTCAGTGCTGCAGGCTTTGTGAAGCATTTTAATGTGCATTGTCAGTGGAATGTAAGGCCTTGTTCACTCTCTGGAAGACAGCGAGTCTCGGCTATAATAAAATGCTATTCTAGTCCAGAGAAGGAATGCTTACACAAAGGCAGCAACTTCGCTATAAAACATTAATAGGAAAATCTCAAGGGGGATAAAATTTGAGGCTTTAAAGTGTCTTTTGAAAAAAAAAATTTCAGCCTTTGGAGGTTACTTAAGTGAAGTGGTAGAAGAAAACACTCCTCCAAAAATGGAAAAAGAAGGTTTAGAGACAATGATTGGAAAGAAGAAAGGTATCCAGGGTCATTACAACTCCTGTTACTTAGACTCCACCTTATTCTGGTAAGTTCACAATTTGTATAGTGGCATCCCATGCTAGAAATGCAGAACATGTGATCTGTGTTGTAATGACTGTCTGTCTGTATTACTGTGCAGCTTACAAAGTCATGCACTGCAATCTTTGACGCATTACTATGCCCTTTCAATTTGAACAATTTCTGCAGCATTCGCTGCATAACATGAAGTGCTAATTATGTCCAAATTGTACCGGCCCTTATGTATCTATATTCTTTTTGACTATAAATGGTTGAAGGATGAAAGAATACACAAGCTGGGGGTGGAGGGAGGGAAATATCTCTTATAACTTATTTGCAGAATCCTGCCTTGGCGACTGGTTTTGTACTCTGCTGCAGAAAGGATACTGTGTTAGAGTGGACTTCTACTATTTAGTACAGCTGTGTTGTCCTCTGTCCATAATTATCTCTTTTTGAGTTTGTTTAGTTCTTTAATTCTTCCTGTGGCTTTGCTTGGTTTGTCTTATGTTGCTCAGGCATCTGAATGGTTGTATCTTTCAGAATCAAAACAACCTTCCTTTTCTTTTTTTCTTTGTAGCCTGTTTTCTTTTAGCTCTGTTTTGGACACTGTGTTACTCAGACCTAAAGAAAAGAATGACGTAGAGTATTATAGTGAGACTCAAGAGCTGTTGCGGACAGAGATTGTGAATCCTCTGAGAATGTAAGTAAAGACACAAACTGGTCTATGGTCTAATACAAATTTTATACGAGATCCTGCTGTGTATGCATTCCTATTGCAAACCTGAAAAGGTTGGCTAGCTGCTGCTGCTAGTCTGTTCTTTTTTTTTTTTTTTTGAGTATTTTACTTGCTTTTCATGGTAAAGTTAATCAGTGCTAACTGGAAATAGTTATTCATTGTTGGTGATAAAATATTTTCACTAGTCTCTATTTGGAAATGCAATCAGCATAAAGCTATTGTAAAATTTCTTTGGGTATGAATACAAAAGCATTGATAAATACAAGTTATGTTTGTTCACAGCATTTGTATTTACATGATTTTAATGCTGCTGTTCTTGACAAGAAAAGTATTTGGGTTACCTTATGTGGAGTTTCACAGTTTGATAGGTTTGGTGGGTCTTTAAGTGTTTCATTAATTTTTAGATGTGGTCTGCAAGTGGTCAAAACATTTTTATTAAAAGAACTTAACATGAGCTTTGTAATTTCTTAGGCACAATGAACAAAGGAAATATGGCAAAAATCTGCATGAAAAGTTACTTGTCTTTAGCTTAATTTTTTTTTTTTTTTAAATGTGCATATAATACAGTTGTAGTTCTGAAATTCTGTGGGCTGTCACTGAACAAAGTTTTACTTTTGATTCCTGGAATAAAATGATGGCTTCTGAACCCTTGTTCTTGTAAGGGTGTGTGTACTTTGCCTGGTGTGTGCCAGGCTTCGGTGGTGTAGGTGGTAGGATACACACCAAGTAGCAGAAATCTCAAATGGCTAAGAAAACTGAAAGTCTTACTTCTCTTACCTTTCTACCATGCTTAAAACTTTCTTTGCACTTTTTGTAAAGTTATAGAGGAAAAGACTGAATGCTCAAAACTTTAGCTGCTTAGGTCAGCAGTACAGTTCTGTATCTCTTTCTCAAATACTGAATTTTTTTTTTTATTAACAACTCCCACATTGCTGCTGTTATGTGACATTCTGAAAATGATATATTAAGTGGTGCAAATTAGAATGAAAACAGATCAAAAAATTGACTGACAAATCAGAAACCAGTTATCTTGCTAAGTTAATGTTTAAAAAGAGCTCTTAAAGGTTATGCAAGAACATTGAGCATTCCACTAAATTTATACTGCATTAAAAAAATCTTGAAGTCAGATTAAATATGAGTCAATACATAGTTTTGAAGAAATACTGTACATAGTTAAGGAAGGATCTGAGAGCCTGTATTTCAGCATTTAAGAGGTTGGGGTTTGGGTTTTTTTTTCTGCTTCTCTGACTTGATCGCAAACTAATAGCTCACTAAACCTGTTTATTTTAGATATGGATATGTATGTGCTACAAAAATAATGAAACTGAGGAAAATACTTGAAAAAGTTGAGGCTGCATCAGGATTCACTTCAGAGGAAAAAGGTAACTGGGGGAGGTTTTCCCTACTTGAGATTTGTAAGAATCATAATATGAAGGAACCAAAATACTTTGCTATATAATTACATCAGAACAAAACACACAAATATTTCTCTGTAGCAGTAATATCTCTGCCAGAGATTTGAGTGACCATTGGGAGGTAAAAAGGTCTTTTCTGCTTCCTTGGGTCTTAAGGAACCCTAGCTGAACAGTTTCTGCCATAACAGTCTTTGACTAGATTTCTTTTCTTGCCTTCCTGTGCCTGTGTTAACTCCCTTAGTTAGGGCAAAGCTAAGTCTCTTCCTCAGAAATTAAGACTGTGATAAGGCTGGAGTCTTTGTCCTCTTCCAAAATGTCACCTTGGTCCCTGAGGAATAATCTTCCTGCTACATTTCCTTGTCACAATGGTTATGTAGTATTTTAAGAAATAAAATGTGTAAATCATATTAGAAAAAGCAATTCCCAACATTTTGATCTTCTGCTGCATATAATGATTAATTAGCATTATATTATGTAGCTGCTTCATTTCTGTTTGGGAGAACACTATTTTCTTTGTAAATGCTGAAAACCAATATTTATTGCAGTTAGTGGCCGGAAGAGAAATATAGAAAACTCTCAGTGTTGGGAGAGAATAGACCTCTGGGAAGCTACTGTTGGCTGCAGTCTTGATTAGAGAACTCGGTCTCTAGTTTAGATGAACTTTGTGCTACTGTGTGGTTTTTATGTAAGTGTTACTGTGGCTACTCCTCACTGCTTCTCTGCAGTTTCACTGTTTTCTTTTGAAAGCTTTTATTTCTCCTGAAAAAGTTGTGTGACGCCAAATGATTCCTCTGAAATACAGAGAATCTTTTTGATCTTTACTGGAAAGCTTTGTTACCCCATTGAGCCTGTGTCTTCTATTAGGGACATTTGACACCAAAAGAGTAAATAGAGGTTTGTGTCATGAAAATGTTCATGGTTTGTTATAATCTTCCTGTGTTAATAAAGCTGTAAAAATGAACCTTTACTTTTTTCCTATTAAAATTTTGAAAACTTTTATTTAAAGTCAGTCTTGAATAATGTATCTGGTATTGCATACTAACAAGACTTTTTTTTTTTCCCCTCCTTCCCCCTCCCCCCTCCCCCAGATCCAGAAGAATTTTTGAATATTTTATTTCACCATATTCTAAGAGTTGAGCCACTGTTGAAAATAAGGTGAATCTTTTTTCTTTGTTGAACTTATCTATTTGTAGAGGCTGATGAGGAGAGAGTATCTGCTGCTTTTCAAAATGAGATAACTCTTGGAGCACCTTTGACTTGTGATTCATATTTCTAGTAAGATTCAATATAATAAAGTTTTATTGTCAAATTTGACACTATTTCCTGCCTTTTTTGGTAGGTAGGTTTTGCCCCACTGGTCTCTTGTTGCAAAAGCTTATGAACACAGTTTTATGAGAACTGGACAAAGATCGCCTGTCCTAGTCCTGTCTACTTGAGAGCCTTACTGTCTTCCTGTTAGTTATGCTGCAGAAGGGCTGCTGTGAGAGGACCCTACAGCACTTCTTAATGGGCCTTACAGCTTATAGCTACTTAGTTCTGGGAAAAGCTGCAGAGGTTGCTGAATCAGTGTTTAAGCCATGGAAACTGATTTGCATTTCTTCTTTAAGGCTGTCCTGGTTTCAGCTGGAATAGAGTTAATTTTCTTCCTAGTAGCAGGCATAGTGCTGTGTTTTGGATTTAGGATGAGAATAATGTTGATAACACACTGATGTTTTAGTTGTTGCTAAGTACTGCTTATGCTAGTCAAGGACTTTTCAGCTTCCCGTGCTCTGCCCAGTGCACAAGAAACCGAGAGGGGGCACAGCCAGAATAGTTGATCCAAACTGACCAAAGGGCTATTCCATACCACATGACGTCATCCTCAGTATATAAGCTGGGGGGGGTTGGCTGGGGAGCAGCGATCGCTGCTCGGGAACTGTCTGGGTATCGGTCGGCGAGTGGTGAGCAATTGCATTGTGCATCGCTTGCTTTGTATATTGTTATTATCATTATTATACTGTTATTATTATCATTACTATTTTACTTTATTTCAATTATTAAACTGTTCTTATCTCAACCCAGGAGTGTTTCTCACTCTTACTCCTCCGATTCTCTCCCCCATCCCATTGGGGTAGGGCGAGTGAGCGAGCAGCTGCATGGCGCTTAGTTGCTGGCTGGGGCTAAACCACGGCAAAGGCTAATGAAAATATTTCAGTGGTTTGCCTTCATCAAGTTTGGCTTCTCTTACTTTATCAAAATAACAGATACTGGCAATTACGTAGGCCTTCATTCTTGACTGTAGCACTACAAGGATTCAGCTGTCATAACTGAGTTTAACAGAGGTATGGATTGTTGTCCACTGCTGTCATTCTGCTGGCTGGCATCTGGTACTGTCAGGTTCCTTGCTGCATTCTGCGACAGCAGCAGTGTAGTGAGGCGTTTCCCGTAGTTTTTCAGTTCTTTTCTCATCGCAGGAATTGTATTAGTTTATATGCCGCTTTAGTTCAATGGTGTGTGAGGTGTGTAAGTGCCCACTATCTGTTGCACTATGCAGAGATACATGAGCTAGGACACCATAACTGGAGCGTCTGTGTGTAGTATGCTGTAGTTCACTGCGTACATGCCATTTAAGTATACTGAGGCTA